AGTTTAGCTACATTTATTTGGAAGAGAAAACAAAAGCAAACTGTACAATGATGACCACAACTGTCCACTGCAAACAGTTTTACAGTTTTTGCAAGTCCTGATTAGCTTCTAAAACCTCAAAATACTTATTACTTTTCTAACTTGTCTATTTATGTTAATCAGCTAAAAAGACATCAACGTTTGATTAATGTTTGCAACGCTTTTAAGTTAAGGGGAAATCATGGTAAAGTTAGTTTGCATTTTACTTTTTTGTATTCTTTCCGATATTTAACCTTGAGAGATTAAGTGCTTGATCAGAGCAAAAACCTTCAGCTGTAACATTTATGATAATAAGAAATAAACTAAATACAAAGTTGTAGCAAGCTAACCTTCATTAAAAAATAGATTTTTCATGGTAAGGTGAATATAAAATATAAAAACTTATTACAGAACGGTCCCCCAATGTCTTTAAGTGGGTCTGTCACAAATAAAAATACACATAATAATGAGGCCCTAGCATTTACCTTTTTTTATAACTCACAAAACAACATTGTGTAAAATTAACACACCCACACTGAATCTGCCTTCACTTGACCAACGTTAACACGTCTCAGTGCTGGCTGTTTTACTCAGAAGACAGCAGCCCTCAAAGTTCAAATTATCACAACTTTGACCATGATTGCCCTTAAGTGACCTTTCAAATCACAACCAATGAGATATCAGCTGTGTGAAGAAGAACAAGCAAGCAGGGGAGGTTAGAAAATAAACTCACTATATGTCATTGCAAGGCTCTACGCACTACCTCACATTGAGCTTGGACTCTTATCATGTGAAGGCAGACTTACAGAGCAATTAGTGGTCAGTGAGCAATAAACGCAATGCTAGCAGGTTAGCACAATAGCATTAGGGCTGGCTCAGCTACAGGGGTGTGTCCAGGGGGTGGCCTGAGGTAGCAAGACCCTTCAATTATCCTAAATTAGGATTTTCTATCTGACTAGTCATAGTTGAATGTGTGTGTGTGTGTGTGTGTGTGTGTGTGTGTGTGTGTGTGTGTGTGTGTGTGTGTGTGTGTGTGTGTGTGTGTGTGTGTGTGTGTGTGTGTGTGTGTGTGTGTGTGTGTGTGTGTGTGTGTGTGTGTGTGTGTGTGTGTGTGTGTGCGTGTGTGTGTGTATGTGTGTGTGTGTGTGTGTGTGCGTGTGCGTGTGAGCAATAACTTTGGTATAAACATTTGTATCATACAAACAACATTTTTCTTACTACTGTATAATAGAAAGAGGTTTTACTATAATAGACAAAGGTTTTAATAAGTTATCCCGTAAAATACAAAAAAATACGGTTATAATTTATGCACTCGTGTTAGTTTTAAAGTCATTTTCCACCTTTTTGTATTTATTTCTGTTTGAGCAACCAAAACAAAGACACATTTCCTTTGTCAGTGTGTGTACTCGGGGTGTGTGCTGTTTGTCATGAAGTGGTGTGAACACATCATTAACTGCAGCCTAAAGTGACCCGGAGTCAGAGGTCAATTGACAGAGCTGACAGTGATGGCAAGTGGCTCCACAGCGAGTCCCATCTGGCCGAGCAGAAGACGTGACAATCCCGTATCACAGTCACTTCACCTGGTGTGACACACAAACACACACACACACACACAGACAGACAAGCTGTGCATGCTGGCAGACAGGATAATCTACAGAGGCTTTTCTAGGACCTTCATATTTTGACTCTGCTTTGACATGGTGGTGGGTTTTTTATTATCTGTGTGCGTGGTCACATCAATGAAAAACACCATCCTGGGTGGAAGTGTATCCTTTGGCTCCATCTCTGTTATAGGTTAAATTGTTGCTGACATGCCAAAGAGGCTCACAGAGCTGTGCCAATGCCACCATTTAGCCTCAGAAATAAAGTGTAAGCTGGTTAACAGCACGCCACACAATCCAGATTTGGATGAATTTTTAATCGGGCATATTTGGAGCCATTTATGGGTCTATAGGTTAATGTAGTTTCACAATGCTAAATAGGATAAAGTCACACGAAACCCATATATGTGAGATCTGTGGTCTATTTCCTGTCTATAGTTTAGCAAATCATCCCCAAGCAAGTTTGAGTGACTTAAACACAGTCCAGATTTGGATGCCTTTTAATCTTCCATATTTGAAGCTGTTTGTGGGTCTATAGGTTCCTGCAGTTTCACTATGACCAAAAAGCACAACGAAGCCCAGATATCTGAAGTACTAGGTCCTTTTCCTTTTGTTTACTTCACCAAATATCCCGAAGCAGTTTGAGTGACTTGAACACGGTCCAGATTTGGACACATTTTTAATCCAGTATACTTGGAGCTGTTTGGGGTTCATGCAGTTTCACTAAATCCAATTAGATAAACCAAAACGAAGTCCGTATCTCAGATCCTTGGTCCGTTCCTTTTCCTTAATTTCCCCTTAATCATCCCCAAGCTGTTTGAGAGACTTGAAACCTGTACAAATGTGGATGTATTTTTTTATCTTGCATATTTGGAGGCGTCTTGAACATGTTCTCTTCAGTGGTTGAAGTTTTTTGTTAAATATCTGTTTATTGGAATCTTATCTTAATATTTGTCTTACTTAATGTTACAAATGGAGCTACTGGGATGCAAGAACAATGTCAGAACTTATATGACAACTAAGTATTAACTTATCGTATGCTTTCATACAGTTTCACTATGCCCAATTAGATAAAGCCAAACGAAGCCAATGCTATGCTGGAGTTTCATCTCCTTTCTTTTACCAAATTATCCTCATACAGTTTGAGTGACTCCAATCTGCTTCCTCAGAATCTCCCTCATGTGCTCTGAGAACTCACACGTTTTCAGGGAATAGGCTGAGAACAAAGCCACATGGCAACAGTAACATCTGGCTCCGGCTCCAGAGATGATTACTCTCTGCTCTGTGAGAACTCATCCTCCAAGGCCTCTCTCGCTCTCTTCCTACTGTACACAAACAGCAAGCACACGCATGCACACATGCACAGATTGCCAGCCAGATGGCAGTTTATTTGACTGTCATCTAAACCCTTTGTGGAATAGCCGTGTTATGGTATGCAAATAAGACAAATATTCATTTATTCGAGAGGAAGCTGGAGGTTTGTGGCTCACTGACTTAGATTTCAAAGGTTTAACACTTTGTTCTTGTGCAAAAATCCAGACTCAGTGATAATCAATTTAAATGACAAGGAGATTTAGTCACTCATTTTAAGTCTGTTCAACTTAATATCTGACTTAAGTATTTGTTTTATAAGAAACAAGCATTTCGGCATGGCCGGTTCTAGTGGGGAGCCAATGGTGGCCAGTGCCCCTGTAACAATGAACTTTGACCCCCCCTGTTGCCCCCCTCCAAAAGACGAATTTATAATGATAATACAATTGTAGGTAGCGTTGTGCTGTCACTAGCCAAAGTGAGCTGAAATGCATTTTGTTTATCTGTAATACAATTGTAACTACTGAAACAATTTATGTTAGAAAACTGTTTATTTGTCCGCTGACCAGGGTAGGATTTTCACCGGCGGCCATGACGGCCATGCTGTCATTGCCCCTCGGTCTGGCCGTGAAGCCCCGAAAATAATTGTAGGTCCTACGGCCACCATGGCCTGCGTGCCCCTGATACTGTTAAAATCTCGAAGTTGCTTTAAAAGCGTCAGAACAGTGATTTCTGAACTGCATTATGCTGCGTTCACAACGGACGCGATGCGAATATTCTCAATAGTTTCACCGCGGCTGTCAGCTGTGTTTACTCCTGTCATTCAAACAGGACGAGCTGGAGAGGGGGCGGGGCTTATATCCATGTAAATACTGTGGTGGAAACCAGCTAGCCTACGACAAAATTAACCTATTTTACCGTGATTTAATTGTAATACACGTTTCAAAATGATGCCAAAGTAACTAAATACTGATAACGGTTAGTAAAAACTATGCTTTGACAAGTGTGCAGACAAGACGGCAGGCGAAAATATTTTAAAATACGTGTTCTCTGAATGGAGCGATCTCCGTTCGATCAGATCAGGCTAAACTAACCTGTATCTGCTCCGTCCGTCCAAACTCACAACATCGTCCTAAAGACAGAATTAAAGCAGCGACTGTATTCACCATGACACAGACAGTCTGTGGTTTGTACATGTTTAACTTTTGTCTAGTTTTTGAACAGATATTAGGAGCTGTGAGGAGTTGATTAAAGAGACGCTCTCACACACACACACACACACACACACACACACACACACACACACACACACTTTTGCATTCCAAAGTATTGCTTGTTCATACAGTTGATTGTTGGAGCTTCACTGTGCACTGCTGAATGATGTATGTGCAGAGTTTGACCCTTCTGCTCTGAAATGGAATGTATTTGTTACATATTAATAGAATTTTTGATTTTTAGATTTGATTTTGGATTTGTGAATTGGAGAAGTAGTAAATGGAAAAAATACCAAACACTAATTATTCAAAGTAGAGTTTGAAGATTTCATTGTATATACGGACGCAACGGCCTATATGATGATATTATAATGTTTGACATTATTGATATTAAAAAAGTGATTTGTTTTCCATGTCATTCGTGTGTTTTTCTTATCAGAAAGTGAAGTTATTTATTCGTAAGCTCCAAATCCAAATGTTTCCCTCAATGGCCTCAATGACGAAAATCCAAGCCTGCATGCCGCTGACTGACTAAAAATGTTAAAATGCTGAACACTGTCTTTGTCTCTTTTTTCCCTCATTAAATGAGCCCCTCTCATAAAACAACTGGCCCCACCATGGTGTTTGGTCCAAGTTGCATTGGATAAAAGCGTCAGCCAAATGAAAATGTAATGTAATGCCCCCCAGTAGAATCGGTCTTGAACCGCCACTGCATTTCGGCCAGAATAATACTGATTGAAATGCTGTATAAATATGTCCTTGACTTAAAATAACCTTAAGTGGAATAGAATGTGGACACTTAATGGTAGATGTAATGACTTTGCTGAAAATGATTCCTTGCGTAATGTATGCGTACCTGTACCAGTCCAGTCCCCGTGCGTAATGCCGATCAAAGAAGTGCGGTTCCGACCCAAGAGCACGGATGTCCGGGTGGAGCCGCAGAAACTCCAGCAGAGCCCTCGTGCCCCCCTTTTTAACCCCTATGATCAGAGCCTGGGGTAACCTCCGAGTAGCTGTCCATTCCTTCCCCGAGCTGTTCGCCTCCAGCCCGGGGTGACCGCTGAACGCGTCCTCGCCAAGCGCGGTGGTGACCTCCCTCTCGACAGTGGTTCCGTTTCTCTCGTACTGCCATCCTGACACGAGGAACTCGCGCGTGGGTGTCTTGATGTCAGTGTTTTCTGACAGCTCCGACTCGCAGCAGCCGGTGAGGAGGTAAACCAGGGAGAAGCAGAGAATGCTCAGAGAGGACGCGATGGAGAGCCGATGGAAGAGCCTCCGCAGGTCCGAGTAGGGGTAATGGTGATGGTGATGGTGGTAGTGAAAAGCTGCCATCCCTCAGAGATCCATGGGAGATGAGGTGCCATTCTACCACAGGTTCAGCTCACATCTCTGCATACTCTAACGCTGCACGGAGCTAATTCTTGGAGTGCGCTCCGCTGCCCTCCTCCTCCTTCATGGTGCGCGTCATGTGGAGCGCATTGAACCCCCTAAACTTAACAGCCTGAGCAAATCCAAACTAGTTTTCCAAACACTCAACCTATCCAAACTCTAATGTCCAACCCGGGCTGTTGCGGGAGCTTTCTCTCTGTTTCAACTCCAAGGGATTACTGTGCGCCTCTCCACCACGGCTCATCTCACAGGGATTCGCGTCATGGGATCTCTCTCTCTCTCTCTCTCTCTCTCTCTCTCTCTCTCTCTCTCTCTCTCTCTCTCTCTCTCTCTCTCAGACTCTCTCTCTCTCTACTCTCTCTCTCTCTCTCTCTTCTCTCTCTCTCTCTCTCTCTCTCTCTCTCTCTCTCTCTCTCTCTCTCTCTCTCTCTCTCTCTCTCTGTAGGTTCCTGTGATCTGAGGGTCATGGCCTGAGGCGCTATAATTTCAGTATTATTTATTGGGGTGAACTGGGATTGGATGGATCCATACGCAGAAGATGGCCATGCCCCAAATCTCATATGTGCCATTATCACTCTTCTCTAATATGATTGATTTGGAGTCTGTGTTTTTGTGCCATATCGTGTAATTGCTCATATAGTCCCACCCACTCTTGGATGAGTGGATCCAGGAACAGGAAGTATTGGTTATTTGTGCCACTTGGAACTGGGTTTATCACACACCGAGCTTAGAATTTGCACGCTAAGACTGATCACATAATTGGCTTAGGGGTCAGACGTATAAGACTGTGTAGAGCAGCTGCCAATAGCTGAGCCTGACCCCAGAGGATAGTCTGTGTGAACCAACATGCAGAAATGTCTCCAAATCTTACAATCAAATCAATGATTCCAGTGGTCCAGATCATATATCCACCAAGTTTGAAAAATATGTATGTTCTTTGAGTGAAATATGGGTGTAATGGTGAGATAACGGTGTAATATGGGTGTAACATAGATGGGTTTAATAATATAGAAAATGTATACCCTAAACGTGCAAGTGTGAAAGCGAGAAAATAACAATCGCTTTCTCAAGACAAATATTGAACTGTGTTATTTTAGCCTATACAATAGCAACTAATACATGTTCCAAATTATTTATACTACTGTCTGTTGCTAGTAGGAAGCAGCCATATATCCGCCATCATATCCGATGATAAGTTGTTTCCTGTCTCGATACAAGTAGAGGACAAACAAATAACACAAAGATGTATGTTGTTGTTGAAATGGATGGCAGATCTCAGTGCAGGACAATGCAGGGGTTTTATGGCACGGGTCACATCTGCTGTGGGATAATGACAGGGGTAAGCCAAATGGAACGTGAAGTATTTGCTTATTTGTGAATGTGTGTAAGTGCACGTTTAGCTGGACGGGGGAACTTATAAGTCTCCTATGAGTTATTATCCGTAGCTCCACACTCTGCAATAATAAAACCCACATTTCAGAGCTCACTAACAGGAGACAGCAACAGCACACTCGCCTCTGCTAATTCATGTGATAAAGCATCATGAAGAGAAACCATCTCTTCTTGGGGCAAAACAGTAATTCAGCACATTGCTTCTATCATTCTGTGGCAGTGAATTATTTATTTTATGTTGTTTTATTTTAATTGTGTTGAGTTTAGTTTCAGAGCTCAGTAAACTTACTAAATATTTAAATACACCCTCCAAAGAAGTGTGACAACAAATTATATTTTCTTGAACTTTCTCAAACAATTGATAGAAATAAGATAGAATTGCTATCAAAACTGAATACAGCTATATAATACACCATTTTCCGATAATTTCTTTAAATTAAAAAAGCTAATTTTACTTCATTATATGCTGTGATAAATCATAATACCAGTGTTTCAGATATTTTGGAAATATTTTAATTCAAATTTGACCCATTAGGTAAATTCATGTTGATACTGCTAATATTGGTAATAATGAGTAAACAAAGCCAAATATAAATATGACATAATAGGCTTGTGAAATGTCCAAACTAACACTGCAGTGAAATCACTATGCAGTGCTTAACTGACCCTGAAAAAATCGTTACATGCCTCAATTACTCAATCAAACTCCAAAGTCACGCTTAAGTATCCCTTTATTTCACCATGACAAACATTTATCAAGTGGACTAGGACCAAATATATACACAGACATAATAAATCTTTCTTTCTTATTATTTCCTGTTTGTTTTATTCTCCAACGTCTCTCCATGGATCATGAGGCAAGGTCACATCAGGTGAGGTGGAGGGTCTTTGTCGCCCCGCAGATTGTTCTGTGATGAAGTGGTCGTCTATTAAAGCGTGACCCGGGGTCAGGGCCAGAGCCCAGGCAGTGATTCATTATCTGACAAAGGGCCGGAGCAAGCTGATGAATACACTCCTGCATCACAATGTATGCAATGAGGAGGTTTTAGAAATGTGTTTTAACAGAATATTAAACTCAACATAACTGAGTCATTTTCTTACCGTTTGATAATGTTTTGAATGTCTGGGACTTTCAATTCCTGGTCGATATCATACATCTTTGGCGGCTTCTCTCTTTTAAAGAGGACATTTTGTGCCTCTACTGTGACATGATTTCATTTACATTTGGAGCTATTAAAAACACCCACTTAAAAAACAAAAGCAAATCTTGAATCATCAATTTATCTTACATTGCCATTAGAGTGAAAAGAGATAAAATCACATTAAGATCATTTAAGGCCATTTGCCCACCCCTATATTCAAAACATTTGTAGGTCTTACAAATAATGTGGTTAAAAAGGACATATTATGCCCATTTTCAGGTTTATAATTGTATTGTGTGCCTCTACTGGCACTACTGCTTCAATGTTCAAAAAGCTCTTTCTTTTTCTCATACTGCCTGTGCTGCAGCACCTCTTTTCACCTTCTGTCTGAAACCAGAGCCCAGTCGGCTCTGATTGGTTAGCTGGCCAGCTCTGATTGGTCAACTGCTTAGACATGTGTCGGAAATGTTTCACCCCTTACGTACAATGTGTTGCAGTGCTAGCCAATAGAAGTTTGTGTTACATAGTGATGTCATCATGTTACAGAGGTAAACAAAGGAGTCCCGCAGAGGAGTTTAAGGCAGGGTGTGGAGGAGATACTCACCTTTGCTGACAATTTACATGCACAAAAACCTATATAACACAAACACACTACAGGGAAGCTGAATAGGGCCTCTTTAATGCTCTGGGATATCCTTTCAAATGAACACATATGTCATCAACCCTGCACCTATGAATCTCTTACAGAGAGTTTGCATGCTTGGTTTATCCCTCCCCTGAGTGACAGTCTAATTAGAGGTAAAGTAATGGTGTATGTAATCAATGCTAAATTACAGCAATAAGTCACTCAGTGGAGAGCCTTATACCTTGAAGCCAATCACAGACGCAAACTAATGAAGCACACTCACTGACCGCTCACCATCCATTTGGAACATAAAGACCTGTATTACCTTCTCTCAGCACCACAGGCTATTCCAATATGTTATTTCTGGAGCTCTTAAAGGGTCAGTTCATCCAAATTACAAATAACATGTTTTCTACTATCCCCACTGGCAGCGAGAATGACTAAAAGCTAATAAAGAGATCAACAGGAGATGTGCCATGAACAGGTAATAAGTGAGCGATGGTCAATATTCCAATTACCAATTCCAGTACCAATAAAAAACATGCTTCCGTAAGGTAATATTGAAAGGAATCACCCCATAAACTTGAATTGTTATGCGGATGATACAGTATTTTGTAGTATTGATCAATCCATATCCATTTAAACTTCAAGAGGGTATAAAAATGTGGATGACTTGCAACCTTAATATTACAAAACTGAAGTTATTGTACCGTAACTCAAACAACTCCCAAAAGCATAATCTAAAGATACTTAACTCTGGATGTTATTACGCTGGCCTACGGCACAACCGTAAGGAATCTAAGCATTATGCCTTGTTTTCTCTACGTAATGCAAACATGCAGGCACATGCATTTTGAGTTCATGGGGTGATGCATTTGTTACTTCAAGCCTGGATTATTGTAATTCCTTACCATGAGGCTTTCCCAAAATATCCCTTAAAACAGTTTATCCAAGTGGCTTCAGTTGGTGATGCAACACGTGTATTAACAAGCATTAGAGAAAAAAGATAATTTTACTCAGAACTGTCTCTCGATAAAATCCAGAATATAATTATAAATGATTTTACTATCCCAAAAAGCACTTATTGGTCGGGCAACAGGTTTAAGACTTTCCTATTTGATAAAGCTTATAGTTAGGGCTAGCTAAGGCTTAGACCTTAGACCAGCCTCTTTTTATGCTGTGTTATGCTTATAAATGCATGTTACTAATTTAGCATCCTAGATTGGTGGCCTGTAGGGAGACTGAGTGTTTGCCAGAGTCACACCCAGATCAGAGGCTTACACCTCCTGCTCCGCCACCACCTTCTGCACCTGCCATTGAACTGCACACTTGCAGAGAAATCAAACATGGCCTTATATGAGTGAGTGTGTGAGGGTGCGTTTGACCCATAGGGTGAACAGGGATGAGAGGTGCCAGATCAGATCAGAGCACTCAAAGAAGGGATAAGCTCTTCTTATGCTATGTTGGGTAGGGCTGCGAGGGTGTGTTGGTGTGTGTGTTGGAGCAATTTCTTTGTGTGAGCCCTCAGGCCTTTTCATTTTCTGGGCTATACGCTTTTGGTTTTAATGAGCAAGGTGCTTCTTTGACCCCTGTATGTCGTAGCTGCAGTAGGGTATTGTGTAGTTGTAAAATACAGGTCATGGTCCACTGATCCATTCAGCTGCTTGAATTAAGTAAGTCTCTAGGCTGTGAGGTTTTCAAACCTACACAATCATTTCATTCATTTTTCAAATATTGGAAGGAAATACTGCAAGCAGTGATTTGATTTCACCTTTTATTAAAAGTCTGGCATCACCTTGGTGTGGTCCATTCATCATTATATCCCAATTCAAAAGAAAATGATTGTAATAATAAGCCAATCACACTACAAAATGAATTCTTGAAGTTGAGAATTTATATAATATATATATTTTATAAGATCCAGTTTTTTCAAGATTGTTACATAATGGTTAGGGTTGGATAAAAGCGCCAGCTACTAAAATGTAATGTAATTTAAGTTGTAATAGTCTAAGCACCTCTCACAATTCCT